AACTGCTGGTGCCCACATGTTATTACTTTTTAATTTGAACAGAGAGAGACAGAGAAAGAGAAAGGGAAAGGGAAAAAGCTTGCTGCCAGGTCTGGGACATGAACCATAGTTGGCCATCTTGGAATCCAGCACCTTTAACTACCACACTATCTGCTGGCCCCTAAAAATATTTTTAAGTCTATTTGTGTATTTCTCCCATGAATGGAGGGAGAGAAATAGAGAGACAGCATCCCAGTGTCCTGGTGCTGTTATCCATCCCCAACCTCAGCCAACCCTGGATTATGGGTCAGTATGCACCCAGAGTTCTCAGGAACATCTCTAGATGTGAACGTGGAGCTCTCCCTTCTGTGTGAGACTCACAGAGTGTTGCATTTTACTGTTGCTCCACCGCCACTGTCCAACTCCTTGTTAACAACTTATAACTGAAACAGTGAAACAGATTTTTATCTACTAGTTACAGTGCCCTGTTTTCTTTCTTACTTACTTGTTTATTTATTTATTTAGGTTTTTGCTCTAGGGCATGTGTGCTCACCAGAGAGACAGAAAGAGGGAAAGCGAAACATCACCTCTACAAGGGAATGGCCATGTTGTAATCCTTAGTCCTTCATTTTCCTCTCGGGATTTTGGGCATGCACACACATGCACCCAGTGTAATTTTCAACCCATCAGTTCCAGCACTTGAACTGTGGTCAACCATGTGGAAGTCCAGCATTATAACCACCGTGCCACCTGCTGGCCTGTGTTTTCCTATTTTATGTGAGTTAAAGAACATGATTTAGGCAGGCAGGTAGCGTGGGGGGTTAAGACGTCTAGATACCACATGTCTAACTACAAGGTTCGTGTCCTGGACCCTGCAGATTGAAAATTATGCCAGGCATGTGCATGAGTATGTATATGTGTCCAAAATCCTGAGAGGAGAATGGAGGAGGGAGGATTGTGCTGTGGCCAAAATTTCTGGTGGGTGATTTCTCATTTTCCCTCCCTTTCTCTTTGTCTTTCTCTAGTGATCTTACATCCTCCTAGAACAAAACTTTAAAAAATTACAAAGCATAATTTTTTTCTTTTTCATTCTAGTATCCTTTCCTTGGTCCTGTTCCTACCAGAATGGGTGGATTCTTTAATTCTGGCTGTTCACAGTGCCAGATAAGCTCTTTTTATCTTGTTAATGATATTTATGAGCTGGATACCAATGGTTTAGGTAAGTGCATACTGCATGTGTGTTTACTGGGTCTTTGTCACTGAAAACTTAGTAAATGCAGTAAAATATAACCACTTTTGAAAAAATTCAGAGTAGATGGAGGCTGGAAGGTGTTCTGGATATGTCTGGCATACAAAAGGTATATTCACAGGTTACGAAGTAATATTTTGGAAACTTAAATCCTTTTCTTATTTATTTAAGTTTATTTATTCCATGAATGCTGGAGAGATAAAAACAGATGTAGCACCCCTGATGAGGTTCCAGAGCTATGGTCCATACTGCATGGATCATGGGCACAAGCATACTCGTTGTATTCTGGGAGATCGCTGGTTAGAACTATTAAAGAGCAGCTTTTCCATGTGAGTCTGCCTCTGAGAATGTCTTCTACTACTGTACCATCATGTAGCCCCCATCTCCTTCTTACATTTAAAATTACTCGTTAGTCCAAAAGTTGGAGAAACTGATTTGTTGGAATATTACTGACTTTTAGCTAAAGTTGGATCTTTAAAGTGAAACCATAAACTGTGTGAAGAAGAAATCTTTCTAAGTTTTCAACCTGTGATAAGAATCACAATTTTTTTTTTTTAAGAGGTTTTTGCTATAGGGCGTGTGCACTTGCCAGAAAGAGAGAAAGAGAGACAGACAGTGAGAAATCAACCCCCAGGGGAGATGGCCATGCTACAACTCCTTCTCCTTCATTCTCCTCTCAGGATCTTGGGCCCGCATGTACACACGTCCAGCATGAATTTAAGCCACTGGGTCCGGGACTCAAACCATGGTCAACTACATGGGAGTCCAGCGACATACCCATTACTCCAACTGCTGGTCCCAAGAATCACAAATATTTCATAGACTGTGGTTTTTTGTTTTAATTTGTAGATCTGTTTATTATACAGAATATTTGAAACAAATAGATTTGAAGTTCTAGAGAACTTATGAAGTACCTTTTCAGGAAGGGAATTAATGTTCTGGAAAATGTTCTGTTCTAGAAATACCTACCGAATAGACATTTCTTTATCTTTTCTTCTTTTCCTCTCTCGGTGATAGAATTTAGATGCCGAGGGATCTTAAGACAAAGAAAATGGCCTTGCTCATGAATTGTTTGCAGGTATTGATCTTGCTTCTTCATCTTATTGTGAAATAATCTGAAAGTTTTTCATTTTTTATCTCTCAATTTTAGAGGATACAATGGAGATCCAGGAGAGAATAGAGAATAATCTTAAGTATTTACTAGAACAATTAAAAGGTAGGTGTTGTTAGTATGAATTCTTGTTTTGCAAAAGAGCTCAGTTTTTTATAGATGTGTAGGGGAGGATTTGGAATTTTAAAAGATTTGTTCATAACTGTTAATAGTTAAATTTTCATTACAAAAGTTGTTAGATATCTCTTATAAAATGGTACACACATGTATGATCTTTTCTCCTTTCTGAGGCCTTTCTCTTAGATGTAATTATATATAATCATCCCTTGGTATCTGTGAAGGAATTGATTCTAAGACTCCTACTGATAACCCAAATCCATAGATGCTCCAGTCTTGTATATAAAATGGTACAATGTTTGTATGTACATATCTTCCCATCCACTTCAAATCATCTCTAGGTTATTTATAATACCTAATACATCATGCCTTGTGTTCCTAAAAATGGCATTGAAAGAAAAGTTAGTCATAATGTTAAAATACTTTTTTGTTTTTAGATGTCTTCAGTAAATGTAAAGGTGACCTCTTAGAAGTTAAAGATGGTAACTTGAAAACACATCCTACTCTTTTAGAAAATCTTGTCTTCTTCGTAGAGGTACGTTTTTGTTCTCTTCCTGAAAGATGTGATTTTCCTAAATATTAGTGTGCATGATTTATTTTGCAGTAATCAACTGGTAATATGGACCTTATACCTCTTGTTTAATCCCCACCCATGTTTTTGTTATTTGAAAAGCAATTTAAATCACTTTCTAAACCAACTCCTAACATTAATAACAAGAACATTTTATTCTTAATACTCAGGTAGAAAACTTGAAATTTGGTTTATTTATGTGTAAGTTCCCCCAAATTCACTATAAGTCTAGCTATTTTCTTGACATTTTACTTTCTTTTATTTTTTTTTCCCAAGAGGTTTTTGCTATAGGGCACGTGCACTCGTCAGAAAGACAGACAGATGGGAACCAGCAGTCAGCGTAATGGCTGTCGCTGGACTCCCATGTAGTTGACTGTGGTTCGCATCCCGGACCCGGTGGCTTAAAACTCACACCGGGCACGTGTGCATGCCTGCCCAAGATCCCTAGAGGAGAATGTAGGAGAAGGGATTGCGGCGTGACCATCTCCCCTGGGGGGTGATTTCTCGCTTTCTGTCTCTATGTCTCTCTCTGTCTGTCTGGCGAGCGCACGCGCCCTATAGCGTAAAAAAAAAAACCTCTCAAAAAAAAAAAAAGAAAGACAGACAGAAAGTGAAAAATCACCTCCCCGGGGGATGACCATGCCACAATCACTTCTTCTCCATTCTCTGGATCTTTGGCACGCATGCACATGCGCCCGGCGCAAGTTTAAGCCCCCTGATCTGGGACTCAAACTGCAGTCAACTACATGGGAGTCCAGTGACATAGCCGTTATGCCAACTGCTGGTCCGGATATTTTACTTCCTGAGTCTCTTTTAATTTTTTTGCTATAGGGCTTGTGTGCCCCACCAGAAAAGAGACAGAAAGCGAGAAATCACCTAACAAAACTCTTTACCTTTTTTTAGCCATAGAGAAGACGATTTCAAACACCACCATTCCATTGTCTTCCTTCTAATTTCTGCCACTTACTTGTTTACTTTCCTCTGCTTACTAATATTTTAGCTTCTTTTTTTTTTTTCTTTTTTTGGAGAGTTTTTTTTTTTGCTATAGGGCGCGTGCGCTCACCAGACAGAGAGAGAGAGACAGAGAGATAGAAAGCGAGAAATCACCCCCCGGGGGATGGCCACGCCGCAATTCCTTCTCCTCCATTCTCCTCTCGGGATCTTGGGCACACACGTACACGCGCCCGGCATGAGTTTAAGCCACTGGGTCCAGGACTCGAACCGTGGTCGACTACGTGGGAGTCCAGCGACATAGCCATTACGCTAACTGCTGGTCCCAAATATGTAAGCTTCTTGAAGGCAGTTAAACATTTTAATTTTTTAGGTTTTTGCCATAGGGCATGTGTGTGCTCACCAAAGAGACAGAGAGAAGGTGAGAAAACACTCTGCATAGGGTAGGGTCTCGCCACAGGCTGTTTTATTCCATTTTTCTGCTGGGATTTAGGGCATGCCCACACGCGCTCCTCGTGTGATTTTCAAGCTGCCAGGTCCAGGACTTGAACTGCAGTTGGCCAAGTGGGACTCTAGCACCTTAACTATCATGCCACTTGCTAGTCCTAGAAGCTTAATTTTTTTTTTAAAGAATTTTATTTGGGGCCAGCAAGTGGCATGGTTGTTAAAGATGCTAGATTCCCACAAGAGAAAAAAAATTTATTTTATTTAACTTCATTTATTTATGTACTTATTTTAATTTGACCAGAGAAGGACAGAGCAAGAGAGAGATAATGAGAAAGCAAACCACCAGGTCTGAGACTCGAACTGTCGTCAGCCATGTGGGAGTCCAGCATCCTTAACCATCACGTCACCTGCTGGCCCTGGCAGCTTAACTATTTAGTTTTAATAACAAAAAGTTTGGTGACTAGCACACTATAAGGGCATAGATGCTACTTATTAAATGAATTAGTAAATAGTTGTATATGTACTTGCGCATCTATAGTGTAGGAGAAGACATGTAACCTCTAACTCAGAACAGTGTGGGAGGATACATCCTAATCAACTGGGGAGATTTCTCTATATATATATATTTGTAAGTTGAGATTTGCAGGTAAGGTAGTGTCTTGGTGGGAGAGGCTGGGAGAACTTTATTGTATAGAATCCTAGATTCTTAGAATTCTGTGCCTAGGAGTTTGGACTTTTCACGGATTAGAAAAAGATGTTGGGGCTAAACTGTGGCATGGTGATTAAGGTGTCTAGATTCCAGATGACTGAGTGCACTGTTCGGTCCTGCACCCAGTGAGATTTAAAAAAAAAAGATCAGGCATATGTGCATGTATGCCCAAGATGCCAAAAGCAGGAGAAAATGGAGAATAAGGGATTGTTGTATGACCATTCCCCATAGGGGTACTTTCTAACTTTTATTCTCTGTCTCTCTCTGGTGAGCGTACTTACCCTCTGGCAAGATTTATAAAAAAAAGAAGAAGAAAAGAAAAAGATGTTAATAGAGCCCTACTTCTACGGGGAAGTGAAAGGAAGCTGGCCTAGCCTAGAGGCTGGTATTATAGCTAGAAGAGTCAGAAAGGAGAAAGAGGCTAGTACTGTTATGCAAACAGAAGACAATGAAGGCCTGAATCAATGCAGTGATTGAAGAAATTAGAAAGTTGTTTCTGGGGGTCAGGGAGTGGCTGTGGATTAGAAAGTAACATAAAAATTGGGGCCAGCAGGTGGCATAGTGGTTAAGAGCACTGAACTCCCACATAGCCAACTGTGATTCGAGTCCTAGACCTGGTAGCTTGGTTTCTCTCTCTCTCTCGATCTGTCCCTCTCTGGTTAAATTAAAATAAATAAAGTAAAATAAAACAATTCTTTGAAAAAATGAAAATAGGCGTAAAAATAAACACACAAAGACATACAAGTATAGAAAAGCGAAGATTGGGTGGGCCAGACTTCTGATGGAGATAGCAACAATCCTAAACTGGTTCCAGGTTTATTCTTTTAAAGGGCAGAAAATCGGAGAAGAGGAAATGGAATGCAAAACCAGTTTTCAGATGTTCATCAACTGAAGATAACTAGTTCCATATAGTTTCTCTAATCTTTTGGGGCCAATTCTGATAAACACATATAGCTTTCTTTAACCTGGTACTGCTCTGCAGCTTTGATAACAGTGAGCTATCATATTCACATGTTAATTGCTTTCATTCCTCTGCAAATGACAGATCACATAACCATGTTTCTGCATGTGTCTAAAAGTGATCATGTTTGCTCAGACTGGCTACTCTCCACAGAAAGTGAAGATTGAGGAGAGAAATTGAAGGGATTTGAGTAGAACTGCCATTTAGAATTTCCTGTTTAATTTGTTGTCTTTAACTTCCTGATAGGTATTTTTATATAATCATTCATGAATTTGTCATTTTTCTTTTCAGACTATTTCTATTATCCTCTGGGTGTCTAGTTACTGTGAGAGTGTCCTGCGACCATACAAATTAAATTTACAGAAAAAGAAAAAGAAGAAAAAAGAAACCAGCATCATCATGGTAAATAACAGAAAAACACAAGTAACAATTTGACTACATGTTACTTTTTGTTTTCACTGCATTCCTAAGAGTCCTTAGGATCCTGTATGCATCCTTTTTCTCCCTCCAAGAGCACAAACGATTATGGAGAGAGAAGCCCCCTCAGCAGGATCTCATCCTACCTCAAACTCCTTTCCCCACTTCTTAGCTGGTCAGGATAGTGGGTACGTATATAGCTCCCTAATATGGCTTCATGTGCTAGTTTTTCCATTAGAATTTAGAATATCCCATTTCCATGGCTGGCAGATGGTGTGGTGGTTGGAGTGCTGGACTTTCACTTGGCTGACTGCAGTTTAAGTCCCAGATCTAGTGGATTGCTTTCTCATTTTCCTTCTCTCTTTGTCTGTCTCTCTCTGGTCAAAATAAAAAATGATGATGATGATGATATAATTGAATTAAATGGGGCTGGCATGGTGGCTCAGTTGCTGGACTCCCACATGGCCGACCATGGTTTGAGTCGAAGACCTAGTAGCTTGCTTTCTTACTTTTCCTCTCCTCTCTCTGGTCAAATTTAAATAATAATAATAAATAAAAATTTAAAAAATTATTTTTTAAAATAAAAAAATCTTTAAAAATTATTTATTTAATTTAATTTAGTCATTCATTTATTTTAATTTGATGAGAGAGAGAAAGTGAGAAAGCAAGCTACTAGGTCTTCGACTCAAACCATGGTCGGCCATGTGGGAGTGTCCAGCGCCTTAACCACCATGCCACCTGCTAGTCCTCCCCCAAAAAAAACTTTAAAAAAGTTTCATTTCTGGTTTCTATTATAGGAAATATTGGGACCAGCAGATAGAGTAATGGTTACATCGCTGGACTCCCACATAGCCAACCACCATTCGAGTCCCATACCTGTTGGCTTAAGACTCATGTTGGGTGTGTGTGTGTGTGTGCATGCCCAAAATCCTGAGAGGAGAATGGAGGAGAGGGGATTGTGGAATGATCATCTCCTGGGCGTAATTTCTTGCTTTCTGTCTCTCTGGCAAGCACATGTGCCCTATAGCAAAAATTTCTCTTAAAAAAAGTCATTATACACAAAGTCTTGGTTCCTCTCTCATTTTCAGTGTTTAGAAGAGTCTCATCCAATGTTTTGTTTGTTTATTTTTATTGTGTGTAGTTCTTGGCTATAGGGCACATACACATGTCAGAGAGAGATGCAGAGTGGGGTAGTAAGAAATCACCTCTCATGGAGGATGGCCATGCCACAATCCCTTCTCATTCTCCTCTTGGGATTTTGGGCATGCACACATAAACACCCAGCATGATTGTCAAGCTGATGGGTAATCGAACTGCACAATTGGCCACGTTAGATTCAATTGTCTTAACTTTCACACTATGTGCTGATCTTGTTCATTTATCTTTTTTTAAAAAAGATTTATTTAATTATATGTGTTTATTATTATTATTATTTTTAATTTGACCAGAACGAGAGGGAAAGTGAGAAAGCAAGGCACCAGTACTTGAAACTTAGGCAGCCATGTGGGAGTCTGGCATCTTAACTACCATGTCACCTGCTGGTTGAACAAGTAAGAGATAGATTTTTTTTTATTAGAGATTTTTGCTGTAGGGCACATGTGCTTACTGGGGGGTGGTGGGGGGATAGCGAGAAATCCCTTCTTCTCTAAGAATGAGCATGCGCCTGGTGTGAGTTTCAAGCCACCAGGTCCAAGATTAGACCCATAGTTGGCCACATGGGAGTCCATTGCCTATATCACCTGCTGGCCCTGATACACACACACACATAAATTAATTTCCAAAGGATGTATGTGCTAGCCAGAGAGAGACACAGAGAGAGAGAGAGAGAGAGAATTCCCCAATGGAGCATGTTCTCATTGTAGTCCCTTCTCCATTTTTCCACACTATCAGGCTTTTGGCATGCACTTGTACCGGTATAATTCTCAAGCTACTTACACTGGGATTTGAACCATGGCAGCCATGTGGAATCTTGCTCCCTTTACCACTAAACTGTAGGGCTGGCTCAGAGATTATGTTTTTAAAGTTTATTTCTTTAATTTCTTTTCTTTCTTTCTTTCTTTCTTTTTGTTGTTGTTGTTGTTGTTGTTGTTGTTGAGAGGTTTTTGCTATAGGGTACATGCGCTTGCCAGAAAGAGAGAAAGACAGAGAGATAGAGGTGAGAAATCACCCCTTCTCTTCCCCATTCTCCTCTTGGGATCTTGGGTACACATGCACCCAGCGTGAGTTTAAGCCACCAGATCCAGGACTCGAACTGTGGTCGGCTACATGGGAGTTCAGCGACATAGCCATTAACGCTAACTGTTGGTCCCTATTTATTTCATTTCTTTCATGAAAGAGAAACAAGCACCTTGACAGGGTTCCAACATGCTTCAATACCTTACCCTGCCAAAGCCTTCAGGAAGCCAGGATCACGGGGACACTACATGCATCCAACATGCTCAAGTCCACCTGGGATCTCACCTCTAGTCTTCTACATGACTTCCAACATTAGTTCTGACAGTACCACTGCAGCTGGGCTGGGAGATTTTTGGTGTGTGTGTATGTGTGTGTGTGTGTTTCCTCATGAGGGAGTGTGTGCACGCATGAGAGAAAGAGGAGAGAGAACGTTGTGATACCCTTCCTCTGGTCTTCTAGCCAGCTAGGGTCCTGGGTAGTGTTTGACATGTTTTCAGACCCACAAGGCTGGGGACTCAAACTGGGATCAGCATGTGGCTTCCAGCTCCACAGTCTAGTCTGGTAGGCATCTGACTGTGTCATAGAGTTTAGGTCAAGAGATTATTATTTTCTTTTTTAATTTGCTAGAGGGCACTTGTACTTGGTGGATAGAGATAGTGACAGGACGAGAAAGAGAAAGCATCCCCTCCATGGGGGATGGTCACACTGCAATCTCTTCTCTGTCTCTTCCCTCCTTTGAGGATTTTTGGGCACACATGCACACTTGCGTGGCATATTTTTCAAGCCCCAGAGTCTGGGACCAAAATTGTATAGTTGGCCATGCGAGATCCAGCTGCCTTAACTACCTTGCCACTGGCTAGCCTGATGTTGAAAACAAGGTCTGGCCACATCAGGATCTAACTGTCCCAGCCAGTTAGGACTGCTAGTGCACCCAAGCCCTCTTGGCTTGTTAAGGTTGAGCTGTCATTAAGCTCAAGTCCCCTGTGTGGCATCAGCCCCTAAGCAACAGCATCTTAGAGAATGAGTTGCTGTGTCTGAGCCTCTCAGCCCAAACTTGAATAATGATCAACTAAGATATTTGCTATTGGTTTCTTATCCCTAGTTACCCAGAGTGAAATAAAGCCTCATTTAAAAAAAAAAAAAGCTTAAACCATCATTGTTGAGTGAGTAGTTATTTGGTGGCCATTAAATTTAACTTGGTTTGAGAGTATCTTAGTATCTAAAACCGACTCCATCCCTGTCAAGAGGATTAAGTAATTCTATAGCATGACATCTTATAAACATGGGATATATGCTTGATACTATTTCAACTCTTTTTTTTTTTTATCTTTTTTCCCCAGCCACCTGTCTTTACCACTTTCCAAGACTATGTTACTGGGCTTCAGACTTTAATTTCCAATGTCGTGGATCATATTAAAGGGCTTGAAACACATCTAATTGCACTTAAACTTGAAGAACTTATTTTAGAAGATACTTCTCTTTCACAGGTAAGAGATTCTAGGTGATCAATAGTGTTTATATATACATATATGTACTCAAATTGTCTTTACCACCAGGACAAGTTAATTTTCTTTCTTCCTTTTTTTTTATAGGTTTTTACCATAGGGCATGTGTGCTTCCCAGAGAGAGACAGAGAGGGAAAATGAAAAATCACCCATGTTGGAGGTTGGTTATGCAGCAATCCCTTTCTCTCCATTCTCCTCTCAGGGTTTTGGGCAT